GAGGAACTAGGCAGATAGACAGTTACTAGGACTTGTGTTCGAATCCAGATCACCTTGATTTTTCCCACATTCCAGAATCAGTACAACACTACATTTCATTCTCATATTAACAAAGGCCTTAAATCCATCTTTGGTATCAACAGTATTATATCCAGTTAGGTCATCCATAGCTGTTGAAATCTATCGAGTGTTTTTATTTACATAGTATCTTCAATCCGTTGTCTAACCATTTTTGTTCAAATCGAGGTAGCTGGGTTTTGAGTTCAGTGTTGTCTTTCTTTTAGCTAACTATGACTAGACAGTCTAGGCTACCATACTATTTAACCCATAGTTGGGTGGAGAAGAGATAGCGTCATGATTTACACAACAGGATTTGTACAAAAGGAAATATAAGGAATACTGGAATTCGAACTCGGTTCTCCGATTTCTCGTTTCGAGACACCAATCACAACGCTATGTTACCGTAAGTAAGATTTATTAAATGCCAATACATGATTAGATTAATGCACAGCATAAAGCCACCTTTTGAAAGTGAAACAATGATTTCCAGGAAGAATAAAAAAAGGTTTTATTCAGTGTTAAAAGAATGAGATATATGTGGATCACCGACTGTCTATGGGTCATCGATATTCTGACAAGAGGTAAAACAAACAGGAAGAATGAAATTAATTTTTATCAGCGACAGTAAAATTATCTTCATCATTTACTTCGGACCCTTAATTAAGGAACGTGGATTCTGATTTCTTTCAAAGAACCCTCGGATTCTTCAGCCATAACGTGCCTCAAGGAATATATTCACACGTTTCATTGCTTACAACTTTACCAGTACAGATAAGCCTCTTTATGTTTGGTGTTTTGGTGTTTCTAGGAACATCAGATCAGCTCTCGTTTCTATTCTGAAGTGTGATCAGAAAAAAAAAAATGACTTAATTGATGAACTTTGGTTAGAAAATATTTTGGGGTCTAAAGCATTTTGTGAGAGAAACCCTTGTTCAGCATTTAAATCAGTCATGTCATTTCCTGCTTTGCTCTTAAATATGAGATGGCATATTTGTGAATTAAAAATAGTCATTAGTTCTTCTTTTAGTTTTTAGTTCTTTTGAGCAAGATTCGCAGTTTCTTGTTGAAAATAGCGAGCGCTGGTGCCTTCAAAACATCACTAAAATAGATCCACGTGTTTATCATCCTAAGCGCAAAGAATTTGGATTTTGCAGCCGTTTTCGATTGTTGTTTTATCAATTTGTGTGAATGACCACGTATCGTACTGTTTGGTAAGGTGAAGAAATTATTCACTTCTATTTTATAATAGCCATCCAGTATTTTGTAAAGCTCACACATCAGGGAATTGGCGTCTATCGTTAGGTTATGGCACTTGTCATGGTCAGATTGCAATAAGTCGATATCTTTAGATTGAGTATGTGCAACAACATATGGATCTAATATTTTACTGTAATGTGATAAACTTTGCTTTGTGGCGTTCTTAAGATTTTATTATTAATGTTTGAAAAAATAATTTGTAATTTTGAAAAGCGTTCTTAAATAACAAATTTTACGCCTGGTGGAGGCGAATATAAGAATCACATACAAAAATAATATTTTCAGTTTATCTGACAATAAATAGCAATTAATGAATATTTTTTATAATATTTGGCTCTGATTTTTTTGTAACTTTATAAAGGTCTTATATATATATATATATATATATATATATATATATATATATATATATATATATATATATATATATATATATATATATATATTTCACACTACAATTTGGACGTATGAGGTTTAGCATTTCAGTATAGAATATATATATATATATATTATATATATATGGTTCAAGTTACGACTTTCTTTAGTAAATCTACCATGATGATGATTTATGATAGTCTAAAATTTTGAATCATTTTCCAATATCGGTCCAAATTGTAGTGTCCACTATATATTATCATTGAAAGACACAAGGAAAATCATATATATATATATATATTAACATATATATACACATATATACACACACACACACATATATATATATATATTACTTTTCAATATATCAACCAATACACGGAACAATAATGATAGTCTGTTTTTGTTGCTTGAAAAATTTCAAAGCAACGACTAACTAGTGTATACGAGACGCGGAAGTGAAAATCGCGTCACAGCTCGTGACGTCACACATGAGCACGCGAGAGTGAATTCGAGAAGTATTAAGTATGGGAAGCCATTGGTATAAACCAATGGCTTCTGTTACCAATTATAGACATTTAAGGATATTTGTGGAGATTTCATAGTTTATTTTGTTCAGGTTAGGTTTCAATTGTTTTATATATATAGCTTCAAGAATTTTTAGTTTTTGTTTATTGTTTTCATGTTTAAGTATAGTTGTGTTTTCAACAAGGATTTTTTTGGAATTGTGTACGCGGCCAGGCATGTTGTTTTAAATGCCTAAAAATGTTAGTGTTATCATTTAAATGTAGTGTTAAGCACCGTGAAAGCGAGTTTGTGGTGTGACCAACATAAATATTATTTAATCCATTGAGATAAAATCTCCCAAAGGGCATTGAATTTTATAAACTATGTTGGTTTTTTTTTTATACAAATTTTCACATCAATCAACTTGATGCTTTTCAATAACACTGTCTTCGTTCAATATGCGGTTATACACTTAAGAACAAAATCTCTAACTCTGATCTTTTCATCAAATGTGGCGTTGGTGATATTGAAACCTTTCTGATGCAATCACAGTTCAGATGGGCTGTTCATGTCATCAGAATGAGTGATGATCGGATACCGAAAACCCTCATGTATAGGCAACTTTTTCATGATAAGGCCGTCCTTGGTCACGTTTCAAGGATAAACTTAAATTCAAATTTAATTGATGCAAACATCCCTATAGAGGAGTTTGAAATTGCTGTTGAAAACCGAGCAAACTGGAGAAATACCTGCCACTGAGGCATAACTAACTTTGAAAAGAATCGTCTCAATCATCTGAGAGAATTAAGGATTAACACTAAATCTCGGGCTAATACATCAGTTCATATGACGGTCAACCCTTCAGCATGTCCCTCGTGTGGACTTATTTGCAAATCCCCTGCGGGATTGTTGGCTCATACGAGACATAAACATAAAAACTGAAGTGAATGACACTCATACGTCGAAAACACAATCTGATTTTTATTACTTCAAGCGTTATCTTTTAGTGGATACCCGTATTTAAAAGAGACTCTTCGTTTTTTTTTATTTTAAACAGTGTATTACATCTATCGGCGTGCGCAGTCGAGAAAACGTAAAGAAATGTGCTCTCCGTCTGGGTTCGAACCTGTGCCACTCTTAGTAGGAGAAACCAGTTTTTGATCTGGCGTAATTCAAGTCTCCTCTGGTGTGTTTCTTTTGTATAATAATAGCGTCTATAATGTAGAGTCTTTATTGGCAGTGAGTGCTTTCACCTTTTCATATTTTCATTTTCTCTTTTGTCCTCTGACGTTTACTATCCACTGGGAACTGATCAAACAACCTTTTTCTCCATCCATTATCCTTTCTTTCTTGCTATACACTCCGTTCACCATGTTGTTGTTTACCCCTCCGCCCCGTTACCTTTGTTTTTTGATCCGTGTTGACCTCAGTTTCTTAGAGTAAGACGTAGCATTGATTGACCTTTGCGCAATTTTAAGTTTATATTTAAACTGGTAATTCCTTCTCGTATGTTATAGTTGCTATTATACATTGATTATATTCTTGACGTTTATTTAAAAGGTGATTTTTTATTACATCTCTACTTTTGTAAATACTTCTCACGCGATCGTCAGTTTATTTATTTTTAGCTATCTTTTAATTTTATTATCGGCTGTATGGATATGTACTCCGGGACTATTTCCAGTTCTTCATCTCATATTTTATGATCTTTTAGGGTTTTTCCTCCTTTTTTAATATTTTAAAATTCCCCTGAACAATTCTGTGGATAATGTTTCTTTCTTTTTTACTATGTATTGTCGAAATGGAAAAAAAAAAAAATCCGTTATACAAGGAAGTTAACGTTAGCCATAAAGAGGCTTACGCAGGCGCGTCTCCTTCTTTTTTAAATTTTGGATTTAACGTAACTATGACAACAAAAACATTTCGCTTTTATTGTTTGTCCTGATAAAGTTGGAAGACGAAACGCATCGGCAAAAACAAAGATATTTTTCTTATTGTTATTCTTACACCAATTTGTCTTATCCACAGAATTGTTCTGAGAAATTTTATTATATATAAGAAAGCACAAATAAAATACATTTTTCCCTTACCATGGGGAAAATTAAATAGTTTCTTGGAACATCTTTCTGCTTTAGGTTTTATGAAACAACTGATCCAGTTTTTGTAAAAGTGTAATATGATTTGACTTATAGTTCAATCACACTCCACCCCCTACTAAAATCAGAGTCTCTTATTGATCAAGCCTATGAATGGTACTAGTTAAATAGATTGGTTCACTTGTTTAAAAAAAATTAAAAAGGGGGAAAATTTTTGTAGATTGGTATTCATTAAATCATCCTCAAATCACAACACTGACTTTTTACAGAGTTATTGGACTTACCTGGTATACAAAAATGTCAAATTTGAAACTGCTTACATCATTTACGCAGAAGCCTCTCTTTTAAATTTTGGATTTAATGTAACTGTGACAACAAAAACATTTCACTTTCATTGTTTGCCTTGATAAAGTCGGAAGACGAAACATGTCGGCAAAAGCAAAGATTTTTTTTTCCAATTGTCATTCTTATACCAATTTGTCTTATCTACAAAATTATTCCAGGAAATTTTACTATCAAAATGTTTCTTTCTTTTTTTTTTTTCGTTGTTCTGTTTTAAAGTTCTTGTTTAATCACTCTTAAAATTTTATAGTTAAAAAATCATTAAAAATGCTTTTTTTTGGTATGGATTATTGTCCTCATCTTTATTTTATTTCATAACATTTCGAATTTGAAAATTGTATTCTCCGGTTTTCCTCAGGTGTA